CTTGGCCTGATGTGAGATGTGTGCCACACCCAATAGTCACCTTTACCTTTTTACCTTTACCTCAAAGCAACTGATACATAAAAGCAAACAAACCAGCCCAGATTCAAAGCGCTTACAGTCTAAACACTGACAGTGGCGTAGACAAAGGGAGGGGAGAAAGGAGAGAGGCATACTCTACAAGGGATGAATTAAGAGTCACTGCAATTATTCACACAAAGGCTTCGTTTCAGTTAGGTATGAGAGGGTTTAAGTAACATGCATCATGGAAACCTTGGGTTTCATGGAGGTTATGGAAAGAAGACAGGTGGTACAATAGATGTTATATATAGGCAAGCCCACATGCATCAGGGTCCTCCTCCCACTGATTCCCCACGTCCCTGTTGCCCAGGCATAGGCAAACTCAGCCCTCCAGATGTTTTGGGGACTACAACTCCCATCATCCCTGACCACTGGTCCTGGTAGCTAGGGATGATGGGAGTTGTAGTCCCAAAACATCTAGAGGGCAGAGTTTGCCTATGCCTGCTGTTGCCAAACTGACTAGCCAGAATAGCTGAGAGATACTGCTCAGCTATTTCTGTGCTAATCAGCTTGGTGGCAGAAAGGTGCATGATGGCATATCCTCACCACTGATGGTGAGATGAGGTGTGGGTGAAAAAGAGAGGGGTGGAAGGGATGCCTGACCCACAGGCTACATGTGCCTTCAACCCACCATCTATGATTGCATGGTCGGTGCCATTGGAAGCAAAGAGGTTGCCTGGCCCTGTAGGTGTTCTGGAATTTCCAGGCACAGTAGACAGTGTGAGTAAATGGAATAAATTGCTTGGGCAGTTGTAGAACAGGAGCAGCAAAGATAACTAACCAAGTTACTCAAAGGCACCTATTTTAACAGTAGGAAACTACTTTGCCTGCTAGAAGAGAGCTGTTGGGACACAGCCAATTGCTGGGTTGAATGTTAACCACACGCATAGTTGTAAAAAAAGCTATCTTAATTGTTTGGTTACTGGCAAGGTCTGCAAACTCAGTTGGGTTTCTTATATGCTTAATGCGTGATCTGACCTTGCCCTCTACAGAACATAAGCATCACATTAAGTTACAGGGGAAAGGCCATTGCAGGTGGTAAGAGGGAGGAAAAGAAATTAATGAAGAAACAAGTTTTTTGAGCCCGCAAGAAGTTGCAGTGTGCATTCTTTTTAGTAGTGACAAGCTTCTTGCCAGTTATGGCCAAAGCTGGGAATATGAAATTGCATGGGATGTATGTTGCAAGATCCAGCCAGAACTTAAATAACACATTTATGATTTAAGCGCATGTCTAACTTTTGTAAACCACTTTGAGGTTTGTTTGTATTTACAATCAAGTGGCATATAAATTTTATGCAATAACTTTATCCCACTGCAATGAATGGAACATTGGCAGTTAAATTTTGACAAGATTAGAGCTCAAAAACGCTGAACATTTAAAATATCATGATAACAAAATTGATACAAAGTATCCTTTTGACAGCACTTAGTTCTACAAAAAGACAACTTTGGCTGCAGTCCTGTTTAGCTGTAAGTAAGCTCCTCTGACGACATTGGGATTTACATCTGAGTAAACATGCAAACAAGAACGCACAAACTGTAGGGGTAGGTGGAGCAGCAAGTTTCATTGCCACAGGGACCTATCCCTCCATAACTTCTGGGTTGGTAAATATTTAATAAGGAGAACCATGAAACAAGAATCAACTCCTCTACAGGCAGTTGATTATTATATGACACCAGGAATCACACACACAGAATTCACCTTGGTGAGCACAAGATTACACTACTGTGTGAACCAACCTACACCAATTTCTGTTTAAAGAATGCACACTATACACAATTCACTCTCACCTTTAAGTAAATCCGGGTCTACATATCCTAGCACATCAGCAACTCCCAGCTCCTGGCGAGAACAAGTGCCCCCATGAATCCGTAGCCAAGCAGGCTCTGCTAGTGCAGTACACAGGGCAGTTATTGAGAGGGCACCAGGCAATGCAGAAGCCAGGCTCCTTTCTGGCTGCTTTGGCAAGGCACTCCCATCCTGGCCTCTTCGCCTGCGCCCACTGGGCAACACCGAGCCACTTGGGGTGTACATGGATCCTCTTTCTGAGATTAGGCCAAATAAATCCAATGAAACACACTATGGACAGAAGCCCTTGGGATCTTCTGGAATGGGTGAGTGGCCAATGACTGTAGGCACCAGTCAGGGGGTGCAGACTCACAGAAGGCTGCAGGCAGAACAGAGCACCAGATGAAGTGCCTCTTCTGCACTCAGAAGAACCTGAAAAAGACAAACAGATCAAGCCTTGTAAATAGCCTCTCACCTGTGGCAAGTTAAGGGCTGCCTCAAGGTGACCAAGCCTGACCAACATTTCTTCCTTTTTTGGTACAAGTGAGCAGACTCACTGATTTCTATGGAGATTCCCATGGTTAAGCAGATGGAAATACAGGAGTTTCCCTGCACCCCACAAGCACACAATGCCAAGAAACCTGGGTTTAATAAGTGGTCATTAATTCTCAGGCCAAAGGAGATTAGGGCCAGAGTTCACAAAAGTGGCAAAAATTTTGCTAATGAGTCCTTTTAATAAAAGAACTTCAGAAAAACTACAAGTACTATCATGTATAATAGACTCATTATGTTCCAAGATTAAATTGCACAAAAGCAGTGTTTTTAAGAGAACTTATTGAGGCTCCCATTTTTATACTTCATACAACAATACTAGCAAACCAAATCAACCTGTCAAATGGCAATGGCCAATGGCCAGGCCAGGAGTTGGTCATGGATATTAAACATTCCTGTAATGATGTATGAATGTATGGCTTGAAATGAGGAGCAGCAGTAGCCCCCCCCCCAATAGCATTTCTTTATTTTTAGGCAAGTGGATTTGTGCCTTTGTTATGCATATGCACCTCAACCAACTAAATTGCTTCTAAACAACAGTGAAGCCAGTTAGTGTTCCAAGGGTGCTCCACTGAGACAGAGTATAAATGGAACACGTATCTTGCATATTATCCCACTGAACACTTTCAAAAAACAGTTTGTAGATTTCAGCTGGCTGGAGATAATCAAACATGGCGTATAAAAGAGCTGAGAGACAAAGGGACCCTCTCTTGTACTTTTGTCAAAATGGCACCTTTGTTTATCTACACATACACACACACAACTTTTAAGCAGAACAATTAGTGCTTTTGACATAGCCACACTGTGTTGTTCATTTAATTATTGCAAGTCCAATGAATGCATCACACAAGAGCCATTCAGGTTGTGTGAGGTCAGAGGAGATTAGACATTTTCATAAGGCACATCTAAGTGTTTTGGAATAAAGAATAAAGGGAAATTATCGCTCAAACCATCACAGCTCAAGCAGCCGAGTCCATTTAACAGATTCCACAGAAACCATTCAGTTTACTTAATAATATTAGACATTTACCGGATTAAATGGTAACCAAGTCAAAGTAACGCAAGTAACTATGTATTCTTTCTGCTTTACCTTCCTCTGTTTATCCTCTCATTTGACACAAGGAACCCTGTACATGCTTTCACCAGCCAAAAAAGGAACAAAGATGCCTTTTTTAGTTTGGTTTGCTCCCACTGCTCCCTCAAAATCCCCTTTCCTTTTGTGTTGTGTCTTTTAAATTGTAATCCTGAGACCAGGGACCATCTTAATGAGGATTATAACCTTCTTCAGGAACTTGTATTCTGCTGAGGAGCGAGGTAGGAAACAACCCTGCCCTCACCTTTCTTAAACTGCTCACTCTCTGAACAACGAAAAGTACCTTAAAGACTTAACAAGTTTGTTACAGAGGAAGCTTTCACGGACTAGGGCACAGCTGGCAGACTTCAGTCTTGTGGAATCTCATTTGTTTTTCCTGAGAACCCCAAGACTCACCACCCGGAGTCAGGTGCTAAGGGCTGTTGCCAACGCTCGACTCGTGGAAATCAATGAGCTTGAGTTACTCGTGCCCTCTGATCTCAGTGGGTCTACTCTTGAGCAGCACTAGCATTGACTACAACCCCCAGGACTAAGGAATCCTACGGCCAGGGATTTGTTTTGGGTAGAACAACTCAACTCGGACATCTTTTTTAACGTCAGGAGCACATCCACTCGGGGCTCCCCCACCCATTTCAGTGAGTGGCAAAGAGGAGGCGTGATTTTGTTGTCGTTATCAAAACACATCGGAAGCCGGAAATCCAGGCCCCTGGACTTGCGACCCTGCCGGGGAGCCCGATCCACCTTCCACCCCCCCCCCGGGCCAGAGCAACTGCCTCGAGGCCCCCGCTTCCTCCTTCGCCCCGGCGCTCTCCCTCGGATCCTCCCCCCCGGAGACACAAAGGGGCGCCGCCCTGACTTGGCCGGTCGGACTCACCGCTCGGCTCCCTTCCCGGGCGCTGAGCCCCGTCGGGCCTGGCGTTCCTTCCAAGGCCGCGGCACTCCGCGGGGGCCGGCGCCTTCCTCCTCCTCCTCCTCCTCGCCCGACGACAGCCCGACCCCCCCCCGCTGCCACCAAACAACAGCCGCCGGCCACTTCCGCTTCCGGCCGGCCGGCCGCGCGCACGACGTCACGGCGCCAGAGGCGGGAGGAGGGGCGGGCGCCTCCTGAAAGGGAGAAAAAGGCGAACTACTGAAACGGATCGAAATTCACCTCAGCATTTCTCGGCCCTGACTTGTTGGTATTTTGCTTGACTTTTTCTTGTCTTTATCTTTTGGTAAAGCGCTTTGAGGGGTTATTCTTTTTCTTTTTCCTTCAAGGGGTGAAGTAAAATAAATAAATAAAGCAACTTTGTTCCTTGGAAAGTTGCAGGAGGGCCAGTTCAAGAACTGAGTAAAGAGATGCGGTCCATCTTCCTTCCTTGTGTTGCGTGTGTACACTCACCCAATATAATATTCTTTCTCGCAAAGCATACTGGGAATCGTAGTTTCCGCGTGGGGTCGTCACTTCCGCCCCGGAGAGGGGGGTGGGCGCGAACCTCGCGGCGAGGGAGTGGGCTCTAGGGGGCGCTGTGGCGGGAGCGGCGCTGCCCGCGTTGCCCTGCGCGCCTGCGCCTAGAGGTGCCCTGTGGGAACCGGGGAGGAAGCGCGGAGGCAGGTAGGAGGCAGCGGCGCAGGGTGGCTTCTTCCGGGCTGCTGAGGGAGGGTTTGCCGGAGCTGGAGGGACATGGTTCTTCTCCCCCTTTAATTCCCACAACAACCCTGTGAGGTGGGCTGGCCCGAAGTCACACCCAGTGGGCTAATGAGGGGGAAGAGTTGGACCCTGCTCTCCCAGCTCCCAGCCCAGGCACAGGCGAACTCGGCCTGCCAGATGTTTTGGGACTACAACTCCCATCATCCCTAGCCAACAGGACCAGTGGTCAGGGATGATGGGAGTTGTAGTCCCACAACATCTGGAGGGCCGAGTTTGCCTGTGCCTGTCCTAGCCCGACACCCCGCTGCACTGCTCTGGCTCTCTCATCCAGCTACCAGACTAGACTTGCAGCAAGAGTCCTTTACTACCATTTATCTCTTTTCTTTTATGCCCAAGACATACAGCTGATAGAACTTCCTAGTCCAGAGGCAGAATACCTTTGCATAGCAAACTGCACGAGTAAAATAAAAGAGAAGAGCCGCTGCTCTCAGAGGCATCTGCTGTAGGAAGTGAGATGCTATACTAAGTTGAGCCTTGCCTTGGCCAAGAAGGAGAAGTGCAGCATAGGCAGTGGCGTAGCGTGGGTTGTCAGCACCCGGGGCAAGGCAAGTAATTTGCGCCCCCTAACCCGTGGATTTGCGCCCCCTAACCCGTGGATTTGCGCCCCCTAACCCGTGGATTTGCCCTAACCCCAGATGTTGCGCCCGGTGCGGCCAGCCCCCCCTGCACCCCCCACGCTACGCCACTGAGCATAGGGATAGATAGATATGGCTGCATATACGTGATAGCTGTGAATGAACTGTTGTGTACAGAGGCTGTGGAAACGGGTGATGCTGGGAGTGTTTGGTTGTTGGTCCTGATCTGATGTCCCACCTTGTGGCTCCCTGGAAGCACTGGCTGAGCACTTTGGGAAATAGGATGCCAGACTCGGTGGGATCTCACTGTGAGCCGGCAAGGTTCGCACACACACAGATCTTTTTTCACTGGATGGCTAACTCCTGTGGTTTGGGATGTAGCTCGAAGTGTGTACAGTGGTGCCCCGCAAGACGAATGCCTCGCAAGACGGAAAACCCGCTAGACGAAAGGGTTTTCCGTTTGCGATGCGCTTCGCAAGACGAATTTCCCTATGGGCTTGCTTTGCAAGACGAAAACGTCTTGCGAGTCTCGCCATTTCCCCCCCTGCTTCCCCCCATTTTTTCAAAGCCGCTAAGCCACTAATAGCCTTTTAGCAGCTTAGCCGCTAATCCTTTAATAGCCGCTAAGCCACTAAATCGCTAATAGCGCTAATCCTCTTAGCCGCTAATGGGGTTGCTTCGCAAGACGAAAAAACCGCTAGACGAAGAGAATCACGGAACGGATTCTTTTCGTCTTGCGAGGCACCACTGTATTTTTCTTTGCCCCACCCCACCCTCTGCAGTGGCTTGATTCTATAAATGTTGACTGCATCTAACAGTCTGCTTAGAAGTCTATTTTGGAAATTAATAAATAATGCAACAGGAATTGGGGTTTATTTCTGGCATGTTCTTAGGTACTGCACATGATATATAGCTGCGGAAAATTAAACTCATAAAATTGTAGAGTTAGAAGTGACCCTGGTTATCACCTACTCCATTCTCCTGGAATACAGAAATCACAGCTAACAGGTTACGTACTAAATCAAACCAGAGAAATGTAATGCTGAATTGTGCAATATATTTCTTCTTCAATTTGAATATACTTTTCCTTTCCTTTTGAATGACATTCTCAACAAATGGTTTACCAGGCCTTAATTCAAATTATGTAGCTTCTGAGAGCCACATAAAACTAACCCTCTACAGCAGTGTTCCCAATTGGTGGTCCACCTAATCCACCCAGGAGGTCTGTGGCACATACCCATCAACTGTCTGGTACATCTCAATTTGGGGCGCCCTCCTCTCCCACAGGTCATGCATCCCAGTTTGCATTGGGTCATGTTGGAGGGTATGGTGGCGTCATTCACATAACAAAAACTCCCACAGAGATACCAGCAATTTCAAAGGCTTCGCTTTTGGTATACGAGGTCCTCAGTACTTAGCTACAGGCTTGTGGCCCTTGTCCTCCTGTGATCACAGAATCAAACGGAAACCTACATATGTCCCATTTCTTCCCTTGTCCGCAAACACACAGTTCTATAGTGTACCAGTTACCAAACTTTCTGCCCCTCCCCTCCCGCAAGGACCACTTGAAACTCGCTTATGATGTTAGTGGACTACTCTAATGATTTTTCTGCCCATTGTAGCAATTGTAAGGCACTGTGCTAGATACTGTATACTTTTAAATTGCATTTTTATTGATTCTTCTATTGCACTGTAGTTTATATTCCATAGAATTCAAATCATAATGCAATAAAAGAAATAAAAGAACCAATAACAATAAATATTACTATTCAATGAAGACATGATGTGACCCACTGGAGTGAAGGTTGCAGATCACAGTTTTAAAACACTTGCATAATGCAAAAGGCATGTGGGCTGCATGCCTGGAGGATTTTCATTACACACCTTGATAAAATAAAGGCTTTATTCTGCAGTTACAAATCAATATGTTAGAATGCTGGGCACTCTTGTTCAGGAGATGCCTGAATTGCAAGTTTTTAAATCATTCTTCCTTTTTGTTGGTCTCATTCTTTGCTGCTTCATAGGTTCTGCGGGGACTGTTTGGTGTTATGATGAAGGATTCCCTGACACTTTTGTCTCGCATCCCAGCACACCCAGATTCCCGATGCTGGTTTCTCGCTTGGAACCCTACAGGGAGTCTCTTAGCTTCCTGTGGTGGGGACTGTAGCATTCGAATATGGGGGAAAGAAGGTGAGCTAGTCTTCCAATTTGGACTGCAATCCTAACATAATTTACTTGAACTCAGTGGGACTGAGTAGACATGGTTCAGATTGCTCTCCTTGTTGTCATTCCTTGAAAGTAGGGGGAGAGAAACAGGCAACCAAGTCTTTGGTCAAGGGTGTTCATTGTGCAATTAGGAGAAGCATTGCACTCTGGATTCCTGCTGCATCTTATGCCGGGAGGGTAGAGAGAGACTTGTGATGTGTGACCCACCTATAGATGAAAGACAGGTGTCAGGAATCTTTGGACCTCCTATGCCTTGGCCATTGGCCATGAATTTCTGTCATCCCATATCAATGCCTAGGCCTGCTTAAGACAGCTAGGACAAAAAAGAGTGTGCCAGTGCCAAAGGGGACTTGGGTGGGCAGGACTTTATTAGGTCTCTTTCCTCATGATGCTTTTTAACTCGGGTAGTGGTAACAGCAGCTCTTGATTTTTCTGGGTAGTTTAGGTGGATCTGATCCCAGTGTAAAGCTGAAACACCTCTCTAACCTGGTTTATGTCGTGACCTCTAAGGTGCCTGGAGGAGGGAGAAGGACTCTCCAGTGGACCCAGCTCCTAATTGGCTTTCTCTCTTGGCAGGTGATACCTGGGTGTGCAAGTCTGTTCTGGGTGAAGGACACCAGAGAACTATCCGCAAGGTGGCCTGGTCCCCCTGTGGGAACTACCTGGCTTCTGCCAGTTTTGATGCTACCACCTGCATTTGGAAGAAGAACCATGAGGATTTTGAGGTGTTTTGAATCTCCCTTTTGGTTTTGTTGTTGTTGCTGCTGCTTTTCTCATGCTTTTCAGTTGATTAAAATCTGTCACAATTGAATACATACACACATGCAAACTCATAACACATAGCCAGAAACCCTTCAGATCTTGCTGGACTCCAGCTCCTGTCAGCCCCAACCTGCATGACCAATGCTCATAGATAGTGGGATTTGTAATCCAACACTGTCTGAAGGCACCATTTCTGCTGCCTCCAGCAATAGGAAATGTTTGATGTGTTTTCAGGGGTCTCATCCTGCCACATTGTCATGTTTTCACAGTTTCCTGGTTACCCTTCTCTTACCCATATCCCCTTTTCTCTTTGCAGTGTGCAGCCACACTGGAGGGCCATGAGAATGAGGTGAAGTCTGTGTCATGGGCACCATCTGGCAGTCTTCTGGCCACTTGCAGCCGAGACAAAACTGTCTGGGTTTGGGAAGGTGAGAGCTGCAAAAGTGTTTTGAGAGAACGGAGCTGGGGCAAAGGAATTGGGATTTTCACTGTGTGTAACTATACTTGATGCATGATGGATGGAGCACAGACATGGGAGGGAATCATAGAATTGTAGAGTTGGAGATGACCCCAAGGGTCATCTAGTCAAACACCTTACAATGCAGAAATCACAGTGCCTTGTTTCTTAAACTGTTCCCCTACATCCCCCCTCTTCTGTGCTGCAGTGGACGAAGAGGATGAATACGAGTGCATGAGTGTCTTGAATTCCCACACGCAGGATGTCAAGCATGTTGTCTGGCATCCCAACCAAGAGGTGAGTGTTCCCTTCCTGTGTGGCGGACAGCTGGTATCCTTGGGGCGTGGAGACCTATCAAATGCTGGTCTCTAACCAGGGCAGTGTTTCTATAGCCCCCTGTCATAAACTGTAAACATTTATATTTCTGTCCTTCCTTCCCCATCCCATTGAAGCCTTATAGCCCTCCTAATTGAACAAGAATACCCTTGTGTTGCAGTTTTTGCATTCAGTTGCTGTAGCCTCCTGATGCTAATGGGGTGTGTGGACTGGAGTATTCATTTCAACATGGGCATTTGAAGTACGACAGGAATGACATGGCTGATCCATCAAACTGCATCCAGGGAATTGTAATGAGTACAGAGCAGCAGCTCTCCTTGGGCTTCCCAAATCAGACAGTGGGAAGATGGTCATCCCCACCAACCCAGGGTGGATTAGGGAGAGACCTTTGTGTGAGGAGCCCTGTCCACTCAGGGCCTGGCTGGTAGAGGGAAGAAGACTCATCAGGAGCCGGTCCTTCCAAGGGCTGACCCAGCATATTTTGCTGCCTGGGGCAAAGGATCAAATGAGATTGTCATTCAGCCTTTATTTCCTTGACATCTGATGGGAGGGCATTCCACAGGGTGGGCGCCACTACTGAGAAGGCCTTCTGTTCGGTTCCCTGTAACCTCACTTCTTGCAGTGAGGGAACTGCCAGAAGGCCCTCGGCGCTGGACCTCAGTGTCTGGGCTGAAAGATGGGGGTGGAGACGCTCCTTCAGGTATACTGGGCCGAGGCCATTTAAGGCTTTAAAGGTCAGCACCAACACTTGGAATTGTGCTCGGAAACGTACAGGGAACCAATGTAGGTCTTTCAGCAAGGGCTGAAAGGCTGCCCACTCTGAAGCAGGGATGCAGGCAAAGGGCTCTTCAGCACCCTCCTTGGTGTGACCACCAGCAGTGGGGCTTTGTCATCTTTACAGCTTAGGTCTCTATTCCTGTTTCTTGGAAGTTTCTGCTTCTCTATGGATCTGTTTCTCCTGGAAACTACTGCTGGGTCCTTGATATCTTTGCTTCTCTAGGGCAAGGATTTGGTGGTTTGCCCCCCACCCCACCCCCATGTTGCTCAGCTGCAACTCTCATCCTCCATGACCATTGGCTGTTCTGACTGGGATTGATGGGCATGGGAGTCCAACATCACCTAGAAGAGAAGGCACACCACTGGCTACCCATACCCTAAGTGCTGTAAACATGCTTTTGGCTTTAAAATAAATTCTGGGATTATCAGGGAGCTGAGCTTTGTGCCTTACACAACATTCTGCATTCCCCTCCGTGCTCTCATCGAACAGCCCTGCTCTCAGTTTTGCCCCAGAGGTGTTTGGTTCCAACACTTACCTGTGATTTTTCCTTTCCACTGCCAGCTATTGGCATCAGCGAGTTATGATGACACTGTGAAATTGTACCGGGAGGAAGAGGACGACTGGGTGTGTTTTACCACCCTAGAAGGGCATGAGTCCACGGTGTGGAGCCTGGCCTTTGACCACAGTGGAGAGCGCCTGGCCTCCTGCAGCGATGACAAGACAGTGCGCATTTGGCGCCAGTATAAGCCGGGCAATGAGCAAGGTCAGTGGCATTTGCAAAGATGGAATGGATCTGTTGAAAGAATTGGATCTGCCTAGTTTTCCAAGGGCCATGGCAGCTAAGATTTGAAGTTTTTGTTGTTGGGGCAGCTGAGCCACCCTAAGGAGTCGGCTTCTGTAGGGTCTGAAGAGCTGTTACTGGTGGCAATGTAGAAGTGCAGCCTCTCTTAGGCTTTCCACTGCTGTTTTTTTCATTAGGTCAAGGATGTTGTTTGACTCTGCCTCCCATTACCCGCAGTCAGCATAGCCAGCGGTCAGGGATGATGGGAGCTGTAGTCCAGCAACACTTAGGGGACCACAGGTTCCATATTGCATAACTAAAATCAACCCACCACCACACATGCCAATAGTAAATGCCATTCTCTGTGGACTGGTTCTGAAGTATGCAAAGCTACACCATCCACAAACAAGAAGCACCAAGGTTTGCAGATGCACACAAAAAAATCCTTAGGAAAACAGCCTAAGGCTGATAGCTCAGTGAGAAATGGGCATGCTCCTTGGACACAAAATGCTGCTGGTGGTGGGGAAGTAAGTCAGTATTATTTTCCCCTATATTACATATGGGGAACCTGGGGCTGAGAGAGCATTTATTCCTGCCCAAGACTCAATGAGTTCGTGATAGAGTTGATGTTTGAACAGGTGTGTGTGTGTGTGTTCATGTTCAAATTTACAGCTCAGAATCTTAGCCACTGTGCTATATTACCTCCATGCAGATTCTCTGAATACAGACACACACATACACAATTTCGTATTCTTTCATCTTCTTTAACTTCTAGTCTTTGTGACCATGGAGATGCCTGAAGCATGGAAGGGTTATCTGAAAAGGGGGTTTGGGTAGGGAAGGCAAGCGTCTCAGCTCTTATCATTGAACCCTTGTTGAGTAAAAACTATAGTGGGAGGGGAGGAGTGAACCCTATTCTTCCCAAACACATGAGAGAGTGCAGTTATGAAAATCTATGTGGAAGTTGGAGCAATCTAGAGCTAATTAAGTGATGTTTGAAAAGTTCAGTTCCAGGGTTTTAGTACTTAAGTTGAAGTGCCGACCAAAGGCAAGACTTAAGTGTGTCAGGATCTCCTTGCTCCAGGATGTAAATGGGGAACTTCACAGCTTCTGCATCCTGTGGTGACACTGCTTCCTTCCATACACTTTAGTTTCTGAAGTGAAAATGCGTTGGTGGGGTCTGTAGAGCTTCAGGTTGCCTCTCTTTGCAAGAAGCTTTTGGCCTATGAAGCAAAGCAGACAGGTCCAGCCTAAGGAGTTGTTTGTGTGTCGCAGGTGTTGTCTGCAATGGGACAGATCCTACCTGGAAATGCATCTGCACCCTTTCTGGCTTCCACACAAGAACCATCTACGACGTGGCGTGGTGAGTGTGCACAGGAGGGGGAGAAGTCTTGTGTAGCAGCTTGCAAGTCATTCTGGGGACCAATCAATCTGTTCCAGTCAAGTGGTAAAGCTTTTCCTGTGATTGTATCACTCCATGTGATAGGGCACAGGACCTTTGCACAGATCACCAGTGTGTTCAGGCCCATAGTCCATTCTTTTCGTTTCATCCTCTACAGGTGCCAGCTAACGGGAGCTTTAGCCACAGCTTGTGGAGATGATGCCATCAGAATATTTGAGGAGGAGCTGCACTCAGACCCCCACCAGCCCACTTTCACCCTTACTGTCCACATGGCCCGGGCTCACTCCCAGGATGTGAACTGTGTGGCCTGGAACCCTAAGGAGCCTGGGCTGCTGGCTTCATGCAGCGATGATGGAGAGATGGCATTTTGGAAATACCAGCGCCCTGAGGTCTGTTGAGTGTCCAAATTTCCCAGCTCCCTCTGACAATAACACAGTTCTAGTAGTGTAACTGTGGCACACCTGTGGGCAGCAAGCTGGACTGCATCCCCTCTGTAAAGGCAATTAAAAAGGTGATATCATGTAACCTTGTTATGAAGTACCTCCCCCCTTTCCACAAGAGCTGCTGTGCCAGAGCTAACACCTAGTGGGGGCAGCGGAGGTCAGCTGGGTCTTCTGCACAGATTGATGTTGTTGACCAAACAGGGTCTTGTCTTGCAGCTGGGTAGAAAATCCCCAAACTACATAGGCTGGCTTTTCTTAGCTTCATCACTCCTTTAAAACAAAGCCAGGGTTGCCTGCAGAAAGACTGGCCTGCTGATTAGGCGTTTCTTACCAGTTGGGAAGCAACAGGCTTTGTAACTGCTGGTTTTGTACTAAAATGTGGTTGTATAAGATGTAGGTTTGGATTGGGAGGTGGTGCTGCAGAGGGAGAAGAGCAGTTCTGAGCAAATGAGCTTGTGACAAATGTAAAATTTATTTTGACCAAGTGCTATTGTACGTCTGCTGCTCTCTCTAAATGGGCGTTTATGTTAAAAATGCAACAAAGACTTTGCCATGCCAACTACTTATTTGACATACGGGGTAACCATCCAACTTCTTAAGAGAGAAAAGTGCTGTTCAGCTATCAGAAATTAGTTGGCAATTTGCCCAGCTGATTCCCAAAATGAAAGTGCCAACATGGCTCAGCAAAGATGGGTTGAGTTGTCCTTGTCAGTTCATTTCCCCCCTCATTATAAAATGTGTGGGAGTTTCCTCATGGGAAAGGTATCTTTGTCTCATCCGTGTCAAATACCGTATTTTTCGCTCTATAAGACGTTTTCCCTCCTAAAAAGGGGAAATGTGTGTGCGTCTTATGGAGCGAATGCAGGCTGCGCGGCTATCCCAGAAGCCAGAACAGCAAGAGGTTATCCCAGAAGCCAGATCCCTCTTGCTGTTCTGGCTTCTGGGATTCAGAATATTTTTCTTGCTTTCCTCCAAAAACTAGGTGCGTCCTATGGTCTGGTGCGTCTTATAGAGCGAAAAATACGGCACTTCAACATGTGAGGCAGGGATAGGTTGTTTCACAAAATATTCTGCATGAATTGCAACCTCAGAAGGCAGAGGGAGGAGTCAAGGAGACCTGGTTGAAATGACTTCCAAACTTCCTCTATATGGTACTGTCTTTTGGGTTCTTGTAAGCACTTGAAGATGGTGGTGCTCATAGCTCTCCCCATTTTATCCACAAAGCAACCTTGTGATGTTGGTTAAGCTGAGACACAGTGACTAAAGCCCATGTCACCTAGTGACCTTCATGACCAAGGTGGTCTTTGAATTCTACTCTGTCCAAGACTCTCTAATAACCACTGCATCATGCTGACTCTCCCTGGACACATTTGTTAGGGCTGATGAAAGTTGGGTTCCATCACTAGCTGGAAGGCTGGAACAAGGTAACACAAAGCAATTGTTTCCAACGAGATATTTGTGTTAGTCTGTTGGAAAGTCAACTAATTGCAGAGACAAGTATATTAGTTTTGCATGAAGAAACACATGTATTGATTCTGCCAGCAAAGTAATATTAGATACCTACACTAGAGAGCAGAGACATAGCCACAGATGGCTGTACTGCTGTTTCATATTCCCCAATCAGGATAACTATCTTGCTCATGCTAGGGCATCTCAATTAGCTTCCTGCACCCGAGATAGGATCCTAATTACAAGCCAGAAAAGCAAGTGTCAAAGACATACTTCAAACCGGGGCTAGGACAATGGGACAGCCCAAAAGGCTGCATGTGGAAAAGGTGAAAATACATGCAGAGAACGTCTAGGACAGGGTAGTCAACCTTTTTATACCTACTGCCCACTAATGCATCTTTCTTGATGGTAAAATTTCCTTATCGCCCACCAGTGCTCGATGGAAGCAGGATTCAGCTTGTGCCGTAGAACCCCTACCGTAAGGTTACCAGACATCCCCGTTTCCCAGGGACAGTCCCCGGATTTACAAACCAGTCCCCATACAAAATCCATTGAAGTTGGAAAATGTCCCCAGATTCATTGAAAAAAATTTGGTAACCTTACCCTGCCACCCACCAGAATCCTGAAACGCCCACTAGCGGGCGGTAGGAAACAGGTTGACAACCCCTGGTCTAGGAACTAGTTCCCCCTCCCACAAGAGAAGTAGCAAGGAGGTTGTTCCTAAATATCTTTATTTGGGAAAACAAGTAGGAACACAGCAGAACCAACTGAGTCCACTCACATAAAAATACTGTGCACAAAACTTTTTGAGCTGCTCAGAGTTTAAAAAAACAAAACAGGAAGGGCAGAGGTAATTTCTCGAATGCCAGTTGAAAGTGAACAGAAACAGTTAAGTACGGAGTATCCTAACTCTCCAGCCAGCAGGAAGCAGAAGTTCACAAACGTCTCTAGAAGCAGATATTGTGGACATCCCATTCCATGGAGGCTCAGAACTGCACTCATACAAGACAGAAGCTGAAGGCCCAGCTCAATCCGTATCGCTGTCACTCTCCGCCTCCTTCACATCCACACTGAACTTGTACTCCTGGTCGCAGCCCATGTAGGCATCACTCATGAAATAGAGGGTGTAGTTGTGAGTCCCAGTGGCTGGTGCCACAAAGTCCAGTTTCACCTAAAAGGAGACAGAGCATGAACTGGGGTGTGAAGGGTTTGCTCCACAAGGAAGAGATGGGGTGAGAAGCAAGCTCAGAGGAATGGGGCTCCATGCACACCCTGTGCTGAGAGCTGGGCAGGAAGGAACTGGAGAGGTCGCCCTCTGATATGAGGGTATAGACATTGATATGACCTGCCTAGCAGAGCAAGTGGGAGAAACAACCCATTCCAGGATTCCCACCTCCTTGCAGGGGGGCCCTTTGCAGACCACTCTTCATTTTGAAGCGTCAGATTTTCTGTCAAATCAGTGACAGTTATGATAAGCAGGACTGTGGGTATTCTGCAATTTAACAGAATGCAGGAAACACAAGGAAATCGGCATTGGGCGTAAGCTGCTGCTTCTAGCAAGTCTTGCCTCCCTCTCTTATTGCATGGGGTGGCACTTGCGGCCCTCCAAATGTTGCTGAACTATCTCCCATCAGCCCATGGGAGTTGCAATTCAGCAGCAGGTTCCCCACCCCTGCAAAGCCATGTTTTAAAGTGTGTGTACAAGGCCTGCTAGAATCCCAGAAGCTGCAGGAGATGGGTTTTCAGCCCAATCAAGGATCAGCAAACCCCAATTTGCACGTGCTGCATAGATCACATAATGCACTTGGATTTCCTGGGGCCAGAAGGAGTCCAGACCCTTGAGAATAAGCACAATTTTATTTTCAGTAATCCCAAACTTATCTTGTATTCTAAAAAAAATGTTGAGGCCAGTAATACCAGGACGTGGTCAATAAAGCCAACAAAAATCAGACTGCTGCAAGGTGTGTCAAGCTATCCATTTGGGAGGAGTATGAGTTAGCTAAAGATCCCACCTCCAACATCCCACACACTACCCATCCTCCACCACCCCAAGCTCCAGCCTGAACAGAATTTAGGTGTGCTTATATAATAAGAGATGCACAGCATAGACTGTTCCTGTGATCCAAAATATGGGTTTATGGGGTGGGGGTGGGGGTTTAGAGGTTGAATCTTAGTCAAAGCTCTCTCCTGACATGGTTGCAAGAGTAGAGCAGGCCTCTGGGGGTGGAGGAGCTAGTTTTACTGTGCCATCCACTATGTCCCTTCCTGCTGCTTCAGCAGGTTTTTTGAGCTGCTCAATTTTTCTGTTTGCTGCTAAGAGGCAGAAAATAATCTCAGTTGTTTTACATGAGTGATTGCCTGGATCCCTGTTAATGCTGCAGCCTTTGGGAGGCCAAAGAAGCCACACCCTTATGGTCTCCCTCACTGGATGCCTTTAACCTCCCCTTTTGCTTGATAATTCTGTCCCATTGGCCAAAAAGCAGGAGGTCCTTAACCTATAATGTTGAGGATGCCCTGGCCTAACACAAGGCTCACGACAGCAGCAATTATGCCTCCCCATAAGGCTCTTGTAGAGGTGAAATGAGATCATCATGGTTGTTCCCAGATCACTCACCTTAGCCTTCTGCTGCAGCGTCAGTCTCTTGATGGAGATAAGGCTGTTGGATTTGGAGTCTCCAATCACTACCCACCAGCCTTCCTCGCGTTTCTGCAGATGAGAGGGGGAAAGTGAGGAAGACGACTTGTGACATCTTCCCTGCCCCTCTGCATCACAACCCTGTAGGTTCCAGCCCCATCCTACCCTCTGCCTCCCACAAGTGGGCCCAGCTGGACGGCATCAAGCACAGGCTGGGCAGGACTCGACATACCTGTGGGAAAAGGGGCGCAATCACTGGTCCAGTGACTTCTTCCTCTCGCTCCAGCTGCACCAGCACAACCACTGGCCCTCCGCTGAAGAAACAAACCAGATTAGACACACACCCCTGGAACAATGTGCTAAGGGGGAGCATGCAAAGGTTGCTAAAGTGGCCTGCAAGCGGCAACGTGCATAGAAGCCTATTTGGCAGCAAATCACATGGCAAAATCATGGTCTACAGTGAAAAATCAACCACAGCAGAGTTCTTTGTGGTGTAAATGGGCATTGTTGTCTTGGAAGATGTTTAGTGGGGCCAATTCTGGGGTGATGTCTATTACTTGGTTAGTTATTTTACATATTTCTTGTATGGCTGTTGTCCAGAATAGTTGGATTTTGGGACACTCCCACCACATGTGGAGGTATGTGCCTGTGGAGGTGCACCCTCTCCAGCATTTTGGTGAGGTTCCTGGGTGTATTAGCGCTAGTTTCCTTGGTGTTAGGTACCACCTGTAGGTGAGTTTCAGTGTGAGTTCTTTTCTTTTCGTTGATATGGATTTAAAGGGGGGTTTAGACCACATTCTGGTCATCTTCCCTCTCTCCACCCCCTTTCTTTTTTCTTTTCTTTTTTTCTTCTCCCCCTAATGCCTCAACAAATGAAACGGATTTGTAAAAATTTTACATGAAAAAAAAATACGAGGCACTACACTTCTGTAAAACAAGAAAATCCTTAATAAAATATAACCACAGCAGCTTTCGTTTTGAAAGCGGAGGAAGCCTTTGTTATTTTGAAGGAAACCCTCTGAAAGGGCACAAAAAATGAAGAATAATGCCGCCCCCCCCCCCCAGCTAAGTAACAAGAACTGCTTGGTCAAATTTACATCTTCTGGCTTTATTTTTCATTGCTATGCTCCATTACCTGCGAATACCATCCTTTTCCACCACTTCATAGGAAAGCTCAATGTTAGGGTAGCGGTTACAGAAGCGGGCCACATCAGCAATTTGGGTATCAGAGAGCTGCAGCAGGGCATTGCGGTCTTCGTCCTCCATTTCCATGATGTCGAACACACTCTCCACTCCCTGCAAAAGGGCAGACATGGGATAAGCCAGCCTGGGTGGCCAAGGAAGGAGCAGGTTCCTGGTAACCGCATTGAACAGCTGCGGTGGAACAACCTCCCCACCTCCCTGCCTGAGTCTGCTCTCACCTTCTCCGTGCAGCGCTTGATGTGCTCAGAGGTGAAGTGGGGCA